ACATACATACATACATACATACATACATACATACATACATACATACACATTCACATATGCACATACCATTCAGTCAGTGCCCGAATAGAAAACCCAGGATGTAAACACCTGTTTGTGTGCAGTTGTGAGCATGCATGGATCTCTCCAATGGAATGTTTCAAAGTGACTGTGGGGGACCACAGACCCGACCCGCAAAACCGGAAGCCAACATAAGGGAGACCAGCACCAAAGACCCCGAGAGGGACCCCAAGCGCGCAGCCCCAGAGACACACGTGCCGGAAGGGCCACCCACCCATCCCCCAAAGAGGACCACTGGAGAGAACCGGAAGAGCCCCACCAGTGACCACACACAGCAACCCCTGGGGCCAGCAGCGATGAACTCACACGCCCCGCCAGTACCCACCGCGCCAGAGTGGATCCAGGCCCGGACACAGAGGCCAGGGCCCCCAGGGCGCACCCCACCAGGCCAAGGCCCGACAGGGCCAGAGGGACCCAAGCCCCACCGGGCCGAGCCAGCACACGCCCCAGATCCCAGCCCCGGAAAACGAGAGCCACCAGCGCACCGGCGGGCAAAGGCACAACCCACCAGAGGACAGCACGGCAGGGGAGTAATGGGCCCTCAAATGATCCTGAAGAAGGGGCTGCCCAAGTCCCAGCCTGACAAAAAAAATACAAGCATAGATAAACACAATCACACAGTCCCACCCTCATCCTCTCACCCACTCATTCAAAGACACAAGATGGACGCCACAATCCACTCACACTCCCCATACATGTATACCCCCCAGGTCCAGGATATGCACACACCCCCTGCAGAGGGCAGCTCACACCCGAACCCAGGAGGTAGACCCCTTCAATCTGGGGTGGAGAAGAGCAGACAGACAAGTCCCAGCCCGGGCCGCACCAGTCCGACTGACCAGCACCCCGCCCCAGCAAAGTCACGCCCCGGACCATCGCCACACCCTACCAACGGCCAGGTGCCCACCCCAACTGACTACCCCCCAGACTCTGGCAGCCACCCCAGCCAGCAGGCCAACCACAGCAACCAGGAGCCAGACTCCGGGAGTCCGAACAGCCCCAGGGAAGCCGGAGCGCCAGCCCCGCCTCCGGAGCCCCTCCAAGTCCCATGTCCGCCCGCAGTCCAGGCCCCACCAGACAGTCAGCCCCCACAGGACCCCTTTCCCAGACGGCCAACAGGGGAGTGAAAAAGACCCCGACACACACACACCCTCAGATGTACTGTTGATGCGTGATGTTCTGTAATGCAATTAAAACGGGGAAGAAGACAGGGCAGAGGCCAGCACTGTGCCAGTTTCCCCTCCACCCCAACTCTAACCCTAACCCTAAATGTCTAAAAGCAAACAATGTGAGTTTGCACAGGCATCAGTGGCGAGACTGTCCCATCCCGCCCCTTACATGCATAAGTGCCCACTCCCAAGTTCCTATGTGTGAATGTTATGAGGTTATGAGTAAATGCCTAAGGTGTACAGTAAAATTGGAGCCCAGGTGGCCACAGCAAACAGATGTAAAAGTGTCCAAATTCATGTCTGTGTTTCTGCTGGACTGCTCTGGTGTTGAAAATGAGGTTTTGACTCTGCAAAATGACATTGGGATCAAATCCTGAGCAACACGTCGCATGGATGGAGAGTTCTGGAGTCTGCTGTCAGAGGAAACATATCCTAACATCAGAAGTCCAAGAACAGATCCACAATAACTGATGATCATCTGGAGACCTGCCTGTGCCTCAGCCACCTCATACTGCCTGCCCTGGTTC